CATTAAAAAATATGATTCAATAGTGAATTTAAAGCTCCAAACAGTTTGGTTTACATTGACCCAAAAATTTCAGATTGTTAACTATACATAATAACTTCACAAAAAAATTATAATAACTTGTAGCCTGGTTTGACAAATACATGTTGTGAAGTAGAGGTTCTAGAAGGATCCTGTTTCTAAATACATACATAGTCTATAATTCTTATACCATGGTAGCAAAGGTCTAAAATTAGAATATAGATCATTGATACAGCTGGTTGTGCCACAAAAATTTCGTATTTTAATTTGTAGTGATGTTGGCTGACTAAAAACTTAAACAAATTTCAGTTGATGAAAATTTTTTTCCGGTATTATTATTACTGCTACTACCGTTATTATTACTATTGTTATTGTTGTTGTTGTTTACTATTATTAAAATATCCCGCCATTATTATTATTTAACGGTTTGAATAAAGCTTATTTTAATTTATTGATTTTATTCGTTATAAATTTGGGTATTTGGATTACATTGAAAGTTTGTTCGAATAAACGAATAAAACAAATAATTCAAATAAAACAAATAATAATAATAACAATTCGAATTAATCGAATTAAGATTGATTTGTATCGAATAATAATAAGAATTTGTAACACTAAGTACGTATTACTTTTATCCTGCAACGAGTATTGTAATTTTTTGTGTGCATAATTTAGATTTCTAATTACCAGAAGAATAAACAAAATCAAGAATTAACAAATTATAGTAAGAAAAAGAAGAATAAGAAAAATTTATTATTCAACAACAAAATACCAAATAATATTAAGTTGATTTATCATCCAATATATAAAAATTATATTTCGTCAAAGCATATAGAAATAAATTGATTTGATTGATTAATCGTTATATCGTGTAAGTGTGCGTTATTTTTATCCACACAATAAAATAATAAATAAAATAACATTACTCATGGAAATGGTTTTTAGCAGTATAGAAGCATTTTATCACATGCATTATTATTTATAATATTTATTTGTAATTAATTAACATAACATTAATGATAACAATAACAATAATAAATTTAAGTTTTTGTAGTATATTTAATGATTGTAACTTATAAACTGTTTATGTTGTACGAAGATTCTCATTATTAATGTTTATGTCAAAGTGTATGTTATATATTATTTATATAACACTATTTACTTATATTAATAAGCAATGTATAATTTTTTAATATTTGATATTTAAGGAGATTTCAACAATTGACAGATTCATTTCATTGATTTATTGCAACAGAGATTTTGTTTTTCCTTTTGATCAGTTTTATCTTTATTAGAGTCACAAGAATGAGTTAACCTGATAAAAGACAACTATGAAACTTCTTTATTTAACAGAATTAGAAGAGTATATTATGATGAGGTTGAAGTCATTAAATTAAAATGAGAGAATAAGATAAGGAAACATATGAAATATTATTGAAATTCTATGAATTAAATTTCAGATAAAATATGAATATTTTATGACAAATTGTATATAGGAATAAGTCATGATTTAGAGGAATTCTAATCTACATCACTATATGAAAATGATAAATTGGCAATCAAGCGAGTCATCAGATCTATTTGTTGAGAATAAATTAGTCATTGATTGTAATCTTATAGATGTCAACAGCAGCACTAGCAATGTGATATAAATGATAATTTATAATAAAATTTTTTATTAGATAAATAGACTCCAAATTATTTTTCAATATTATTGAGTCATTAATGGATTTTGAATATGATATTGTAATTTGAAAGTTTTTCTTTAAAAAAAATTTATTATTACAACAATCACTAATATTTTTTGTGAAAGTAAGAGCTACAAAAACTATTAGATAATTGTGTAAAACCATCAATTTTTACCAACAATAAATAAATAAATACATAATGATAATTACATTTTTGCTGACGTCAAGTTCTGAAATTCCAGGGGGCAGTATAAGTTTGTTTATGCGAACAAGACTTGAAAGACTAATCCAAATCAAATATCTCCTCCATGTGGTTTTCTATTTCGAAATTTTTTTTTAATACGTTACTTCTCAACAGTATCAGGAATTGCATTTCTGTCTTGGATCGAGCTGTCTCCGGAGGCTATTGTTTTGACCTAGTTGGTAGAGGAATTTATTTAGCAGAAATCATTGCAATGTTTAATAAAGCTTTAAATTTTGCATTTGTATGTGGATAAATAGATGCACTTTCATAATTTTCATATATTGCAATCAGAATTTGGAATCAATTGCGAATATATTTATTACATCTACTATTTTTTATCGTATAGAATGGAGAAAGAAATTTGAAATTTTCGAAAATCGAAACTTAAAAACCGAAATCAAGTCAAAGTTGAGATCGAAGTTGAAATTGAAATCGCCTATGTTGTGACCCTAAAAACTCTTTCGAATTCCCTAAACAGTTTCAGGAGAGAACGCACTCTAAGCCTAGTCCTAAACCCTAAACTAGTTTTTTTCATTATGACAAATAATATTAATTCTAGAAATAAAAGCAATGGAGATTTCCTGGAAAATATGACAGGTTGTAAATATTGTAACGATAGTAATTCACGTGATCAGGATGTTCTTTCATAAAATGAGACATTGTTCATTTGTTTATAGCGGTTTTTTTTCGAAAATTTTGATTTTGAATTTCAAAATTTGATTTTATATTTCTATCGAAACTAATCTATTTCACCATTATGTATAGTTTAACTCCAAAGCAGATAGTAACTATGTTGTTTGCGGATAAACAGATATTAATTTCAAATATTCAATTAATTACAATTACATTCAGAAATTTAGAATTGATATAGATTTTAATTAAATGATATGAGTTAAAATTTTAATAATCAGATAACACAATTAGAGTTATGTTGGTCCGGTCCCGGTCTCGGTCTTTTAAAAACCAACTCTAAATACAATCCAAATCGGGATTAAATTTGAAATCTTTCATTTTTGATTATAGCGTATGATCGACATGATCAAACTTTTCGTTCACATGACTAGGATCAAATAATAGAACCCCAGGTTTCATACATTTGTGTCTTCATTCTGTATATGGGGGCTGTTCTAGGAAAAAGTGGGTTTCTTCAGATTTTTTGTTTTTGAGATATTCATAAAAACAAAAAGCA